TGTGTAATGGTCGTCAAAGTACTCCATCATGGCGGTCTTGATAGACCCAAACAACTCCACTATCTGCCCCCGGATAGCAGTCATATCCTCAAAAGAAATCAACCCCCTAATCTCCTTCTCAGTCACCCATGGCCTATCTTGGTCACTCGATCCAACTCCTGACTCGAATCTCCTTGTAACCACCATATTAAATATAAAACAGAAAATATCAGATGAGATTCATTTCATCCCATACGAGCTATTCCAAACAATAAAATCCTAGGGGTTGTGACCTCCCTGCTGCGCGTACGAGTCCTGTTCTTCCAGTAGTACAGGCCCATACTACCTTCCACACCTACCCGTATTTGTCTCAGAAGATCATCACAACAACCCTAACATCACACACTAGAATACACATACATCCTATTCTGACTCCCTAAAGAAAGGCTAGATACTCCTCAACTGGACGGCTGCTCTCACATAACCCATCTATGAAACTTCAACCAACCCTACAACACTCGTGTATGCTAATCATACATAACATTGGATCCTATTGACAGTCGAATACCTGATTCTACCCTAAGCCCTTCATTCAATAAGAACAGGAAATAAGGCTAAACTGAAGATTCTTAGTCTATAGAATCTTAGTTATTTACAACTATGATACATACACTAAGCAACTATAGTAATCATGTCAATTCCATACAAGAAAGAAACCTTAGGCTATCAGGCATCAATTATCAGACAATTCTATCATGCAATTCCTGAAGATCCCTACCCTATCACTAGCATGTTGTTCTAACATAAACATAATATCAAATAATAGTGTGGGTAATTTGGGGTATACTTTCTTCCTCCGTCTTATCATACACATCGCATCGTTCCTTGTTTACTTTTGAAAACAATTTTTCAAAATTTGTTTAAAAACTTTGCAGTTCCCTAGTTTGAGTCTGGATTCACACGAATGCTCATCCAATTCTCTCAAACCAAGGCTCTGATACCAACTTGTAACACTAAAAAATAACAATAAATTTAAAATTTTCAAAATCAACCATTTCATCAACATTGTTTACAAAAATAGTTCTTGTTTCAAAAACATTATTTCAAATCGGAGTTTTCCCAAGAGCCAGTGACATAAAACATGATGTTGTGTACGATCATGCATTTGCCTATCCACGATCCTCTGAAGTAACTGAAACGATAAACTAAAAATTATAAGCCAAAGCTTAGTGAGTTCCCCGAAAGTACCAGCACACACACATATAACAACATATACTAGCTCTACAGCTAGAAAGACTGGATTACCCCCGAGCCCACAATATGAGTCTGGCATGCCAATCGGGCCCTCAACTCATATATGGAATGCTCCCGAGCCCTCAGTATGAGTCTGGCATGGCAATCGGGGCCTCATCTCATATCTGGAATGCTCCCAGGTTTGTTGGCTACAACCAAAAGCAGTACAACCTTAACCCAACACAATATGTCGACATATGTAACATGTAAACATAAAAATAGAACCAACAAATACAAATAATCATGAAGATCTACTAATCAGCCACAAGCTAGCATGACACTATCCTAACTAGGATAAATAATCTAATGGGTCGGCATTGGTCCCTTCGACCCACGATACAGTGAGAAGAAACTCACCTCGCAGTCTGACGAATAGCTAAACAATACACTGCTCCAAATACCGGCTCTACAAGTCTCCTTAAAATGATGCCAAATGGTGATAAGATTTTAGATCTAAGGTGCTTCACTATTCCAAAGTGGCACTCTCTTCTTCTCCTTCCTTCTTAATCACCAAAAGTATCTACAAAAGCTCAAGAACACTCTCAAGGTGGATTAGCATTCTAGATGGACGAAATGGCAAGTGGAGGTTGAAGAGGAAATGAGAAATGAGGAGTTAATGATGATTATATATGGACCGAACCCTAAAAATTAGGGTTTGAGGATCCTTCTCGTACGCCCAACGTACACGGTGTACACCCATCGTACTAATGCCCGTGCATATACGACCAACATACACAACGTACGCCCACTGTACTAAGCCTTGCCTTGAATTTACGAAAATGCCACTATAGGTCATTTCGCAAGCTTTATCATACCCAAGGGCTAAAAAATCACTATTTATTCATACATAGGTTTACTATTGAAGTTACCTCATCATAAGGATGTTACAAAAATAAGGGAACTATTGGAGATTGTGGCACTAGATGATATCATACCAAAAAAAAGCTTCATCAATCAACCTTCTACCACTTAAAAAAACCTCCACAACCATAACTGTCTGAGTTCCTTAAGCTTTCCCCTACATCCGAAACACAAAATGTATAAAAAAAATGTACAGAATAAGGCTACACCAAGAAATAGCAAAATCATATTGATTTAGTATCCACATCAACCTGGAATAGAGCTGAAGAGTTAATTGTTTATCACGCAATCAGATGCTATATACAATACATAAAATGTTTAAGTAGAATGAATGGTTTAATTAATAATAAGAATGCAAAATGAAAATATAACAAATAAGGTAATAAGATAAATATATGTGAGTGGAGCATCAAATAAGAAACTTACCTTATAATTAAGATGAGAACATGGAAGTAAGATAGTCTCGATCCTCGAAGAAGATCTGCAAATTCTTGATCTCCATGAGGAACTCAACTGCTTCCTCATCAAACTCGAACAGAAACCCCATCTTTATGACTTTACACAGTTCTGGAACAAACTCTTCATTATCCCACAGCACCCCCTCTGTTATTTCTTCAGCAAAATGAGAAATAAACTATTGACGAATACCTCCAGCTACACCTAATATCGCTACTTTGAATCCAGGTGCTCCACATTTTGCTATGCAATTTACTGTTTCCAAACCAGAACATCCTTCCTTCTTCAGAATTATGATTACATACACATAGATATTCAAAATACCAATTCAGAACTCAAATTGAGAACGATTAGGTTACATACTCGCTCTACAACATGATTCATCAATAACATATATCCGATCAGAAGAACTGATTCGATCACGAAGAATAAAAGACAAATAAACTATTGACGAATGCATTTACGCCTCAATCATTTATAAAATGCAACTACATATAGTTTGGAATATCAATAAACAGCAAAATATGATTACGATCAGAAAAATTAGATCATACCTGATGATAAATCGTTAGATGGAACAACTAGGGAATTGAGCGGTGGAGTATGTGAGGCCATTAAAGATCTTAAAGAGGCGAGAATATATCCCATTTGCATTCTTCTTTGGAGTTCTCTGTGAGGGTTTATGATTGATCGATTGATTAAATGATGAAGAAACAGACACTAAGACTTATCTACATCGATCCTCATCATTTATCTTCACCTTATTTTTGTGAGTAGAAGCAATTTCTAAAACATAGATATTTCGAAAGCATCGAATTGGATGAAGGACGGGAGGCGATCGGAAGTGAGTACTGAGTGGTCATAGGATGGATTGTAGGTTTGAGCGAGACAGGAAAAAAGGGAGAACAAACAAAGAGAAATTTTATTTTATCAATATTAGATTTATGAAACGATTTAATTATATTTTTATTTCCTATAATACCCCTAGCTGAATTAATTAAGATGCCCCTCCTTCTTTTTTCCTACTTATTTATAAAAACGCCACCTTACATCTCAACCCTTCTTTTATTTGATCTAACGTTCCACTTTTAGTTCTCGGGTTCTCGTGAATATATAAGTTCTCAAATAATCATTCCTCTCTCTCTCTCTCTCTCTCTCTCTCTCTCTCTCTCTCTCTCTCTCTCTCTCACTGTATATATATATATATATATATATATATATATATATATATATATATAAGTGTTGAATATATTGGCCTAGGCGGCCGATTAATCGGCGCCTAGGCGCTTGGGGGTCCTCTACCGTCGACGTTTATAGCTAATCGAACTATATAATCGGACGTGGTCAAAGTAGGTCAAAGACGGGTCTAGGCGCCCTTATCGGTCAACACAAGTCAATGTAATTTAAAATCTTTTTAAGGGCAAAATTGTCAAAATGTAACAATTGCTTCTAGGGTTGCTTCCGATTTCTCATTCTATGCAGTCAAAAAATCAAAATTCTCTCTCTAGACTTAAACCACGAAAGAACGAACGAAGTGAAACGGCCCCATCTTCTTCTGCCATTCACCGGTTCACAACGTCGACTCTAGCTCCGTTCGTCATCAGCCGTCACCTTCAAATAATGAGTTGCAGTCCCCTTCCAAGCATACAGTTCTCTTATTCAAAGCATCGATCACTGCCCTAATTCGGTTCGTCATCAGTCATCAGTCATCGCCCTAATCTGGTTCATGAAGTTTCTCCCGTGGACACCAACTCTTCCGACTTTAGCTCCTCTTCTGAATTCAGCTCCTCATCGGACTTCATCTCCCCCCGTCGACACTTAAGTATGAATCAATTTCACCAATTTGACAAACTCAGTGCATACTATTTACTTATTTAGACTTACCACCTATATTTCTTTGCTAGGAATCACCTGAACGCCTTAAGTTATGAGTGTTATAGTTCTGATTGTCTAAGATTCCTATAATTTCAATACAACTTGTAACTCTCGATCATTTTTCATCCAATAAACTGCAAGATATCAGGGTCACCCTCCACACACTATGCTTTAGTAATTGGTTCAACATCTGTTTTTCCCTGTTGCACAGATCACTGCCTATGAAGTTTAGCATTTGATTCAAATGGGTTATTGAATTTGTACAGTAACATGAAGTTGTTTAACAGTGAATGGGTTATTGAATTTCAAATGAGAATTTATTGAACAGGGGATTTCATATGGGAAGTTGTTAGCATTTGATAGCTTCTTCGGTTAACAGCAACATAATTTTTTTTTAAATCTGTTAAGTATGAATCTATTAAGTTTTTTTTTAAATCTGTTAAGTATGAATATGTTGTGCATTTGTAGAAATCGTTTCAACAGGAATCTGTTAATATTTTAATGTGTTAATGTGATGATTTAACAGTTTACAATCAATGACTTCTAATGCTGCGACTACACCGTCTGTGGAATCAACCGCCACCGATATACATAAACAAAATTCAGATGATGTTGGTTGGGAATATGGTTTTATCCCGGATAAAAGCAACTTGGATAGATTAAAATGTAAATTTTGTGGAAAAGTGTTTGGCGGAGGGATTACTAGAATGAAAGAACATATTTCTCATGTGAAGGGGAATGTATCTTCATGTCCAAGTTCTACAAAAGATGATCAATTGAAATGTCGAAATTCTATTAAAGAAGGGAAGTTAAAATAGAAAGCTAAACATTCGCAAGATAAAGCCTTAAGATTTGAGGTGAGACAAAAATTTCATGATAGTGTAGATGGAGTAGAAGCTTGTTTCGGGATGAAAGCATCAAATGTTATAGGCCCCATGGATGGCTACGCAAACATAATAAACCCCGAAGAAGGTTTGAATGCGAGAAAGGGAAAAAATGGTCCATAAATACATTAGTAGGTGGGCATATGAAAGCGCAATTCCTTTTCATGCCTTTGAAAGGGATAGCTTCAAAATGATGTTGGAGGTTGTTGGTCGATTTGGAACTGGGATTCCACCTCCTACTAGATATGCTTTGAGTGACACACTTCTAAAGCATGAGGTTGAAAGAACAAAAAACTTGTTGAAAAAAAATGAACAAGAATGGAAAGCGGATGGATGCTCGATTATGACAAATGCTTGGTCTGATTGAAAGAGAAGGAGCATTATGAATTTATGTGTTAATTCGAAGATGGATACTGTTTTTTTATCTTCAAAAGAATGTTCCAACGAAGCACATACAAGCCAAAAAATATATGAATATGTGGAGTCTTGCATTCAACAAGTTGGTCATGAGCATGTTGTTCAAGTTGTGACCGATAATGCCACGAATAACATGGGGGCGGCAAAGTTGCTAAAAGAGAAAAGACCATCTATTTATTGGACATCATGTGCGACACATACCATTAACCTTATGTTTGAAGGTAATTACATTATTTTGTTTATTTATTACTTTATTACTTTATTTTGTTTTAAAATGTTTAATTTTGTACTATAATTTGTTATTTAATCGTGTTTGTTTCTTCAAGGTATTGATGCACTCCCAAGGTTTAAGAAAATCCTAGATCAAGCAAAGAAACTAACCATCTTCATTTACGCTCACCACAAAACCTTGGCGATGATGAGAAGTTACACCAACAAAAGAGAAATTATCTGACCGGGAGTCACGAGATTTGCTTCCGCCTTTCTAACTTTACAACGTTTAGCCGAAAAAAAGGAGCAACTAAGACATATCTTCTCTATCACCGAATGGGAGGAATGTAAATTTTCTGGTACGCCTAAAGGGATTGCCTCATATAAAACGGTGTCAAGTGTGCAATTTTGGTCCGGCGTGGCACAATGTTTAAAGGTGTTCTCCCCTTTGGTGAAAGTCCTTCGAATGGTTGACGCGGATTAGAAGCCCTCAATGGGTTTTGTTTACGGGGAGATTAAAGTTGCTAAAGAATAAATTATCACATCATTGGGTGGTAACGAGAAAGCATACAAGTGTATTATAGATATCATAACCAAAAAGATGAAAGGTCGTCTAGATTCAAGTTTACATTTAACGTCTTATCTTTTAAATTCGTATTATCATTATAAGGATCCACAACTCCAATATGATCCCGATATAATGAATGCGGTTCTTGATTTTTTAGATACATTACTTTGTGATAATTTTGAAATGCAAAGGCAAGTTGTAACAATTCACTTGCCAAAGTACAAGAAAAAAGTTGATAGATTTGGTTGCGATCTTGCAATTACAAATTGTGGGGTGAATGATACCGAGTTTGATCCGGGTAATTCGTTTTACTTTTAGTTATCTATTTTAGTATTTTATAAAATTTTGATATTTATCGATTAATAATGTGTTTTTGTTTAAAAGATTGTAGCTAGTTGGTGGCACAACTCCTCATTTGACAAAGATTGCAATGATGATTCTTTCTTTGACTAGTAGTTCATCGGGTTGTGAAAGGAATTGGAGCACGTTTGAAGGGGTCAGTAATATAAAGTATTAAATTTATATTTTATAAAATTTAAATATTAAGCACATTTCAACTCTTTGTTGTGTTTACATTTCTAGGTACATACAAAAAAACGAAATAGATTGGAGGCAAGCAAATTGAACAATCTTGTTTATGTTCAATTCAATGTTAATTTAATCGAAAAAAATCAAAAGCGAAAAGACAGAAATATGGAGGTGCTATTAGCAAATCATTCACTCTCGGCTCAAGAATGGATTGTTGATGTAGATGAAGTAGACCCCGAAACGGTTAATGAAGATCTAGGAATCGATGATAATCAAGCACCTCGAGAAAGTCCAAGAACGAGAGAACTTTCCGATGAAGATTTTGAATCCGAGAGGAGGAGCAAGTGTTAGAAGAAGACGAATATGAGTCGGATGGGGTTCAAATAATGGAAGTGTGTGGAGAATATTAGAAGATAATATGCTTTATTTTTGTGCTAATTAAACTTATTTTAAACTTGTTGGGTGATGATTTAGTATGTTTGTTGAACTTATTATTAACCTTTTATGTTTGTTTTGGATGATAATTTGTTGTGCTTAAACTTGTTATTAAACTTTTATGCTTATTTACTTATAATATTAGGATTAAATTTAGATTTATTAATTTTTGAATAATTTTCTTAATAATTAATAGTACCCAATTAATCCCCGCCTAAACGATTAATCCATTAACCCTAGTCCATCGCCGAGCTACCATCGAGCGATTTTTGCAACACACACACACACACACACACACACACA